AATTAGTACCATATAATTATGCACTATTTTCGGTGTTGGATAAAAATGGTTTCAATTTGAAATTTAACACTAATTCCCTTTATTTGAAAAAAATACAATTTTGTTAAAGCTTTTTATTTAGGAATATTGAGAAAATTTTAAAGTTAAAGAATTATTTTAAAATTCTCCAACATCTAGGCAGAATTTAAAATAATTCTTTTCACTCAAGATTTAACATGATAATCCTTAAAATGAAACAACAATTTTTATAGAAAATAATTGTTAGTGACTCTCCAACATCTAGGCAGAGTACAAAAAATTATTTCTTTCGGAATGTTATTTTTATTTTATTTTGTAGTATCACAACTTTTTTTTTAAAACACATTATTCTTTTTTTTTATTGTTGAAAAATATTTTATCATCAAACAGTAAATTAAAGAGAGAATAATACCGACAATTATCGATGATAACATGCTAACGTATGTATACTAATAAATGTCATGTAAAATAAAATGTAATTTAAAAGTTAGATTCTTAATTATATTGAGACTACCCTGACTCTCCAACATCTAGGCAGAGCTTAGGTGCGACTGTTTATATTTAAAATCTCCATTTACTATTATACTTTTTATTTATTAATCTTATTATTAAAGCAAATTAAGAACTCGTATGAAAAAATTAATGAAATAAAATTTCCTAAATACCCCATCATCTAGGCAACATTCGGGAATAAATTGCTTCAAATAAAATTTTCACACGTGTCCTTAGGATTTTTAAGATGTTTTGAGTAAGGGTTTGGGTAAAGGTTTTCAAGGTTAGGGTTTCAAGATTTTGAAGATTCGGATTTTAAGTGTTTGGATTTAAGGGATTTTGGATTTTGGGGTTTGGATTTAAAGGATTTCAGATTTTAGGGGTTTTAGAAAACGCGAACATCTCTAAAAATCTTTAATATTTAGGCGAACTTTCGGAGCAAGTTCAATTTTTATAATCCTTTTTTTTAAAAAAAAAATTCAATTTAAGAAACATAAATTTTTTATAAAAGTGTTCTTTCACTTTTTTTTTAAAAGTTTCTTTTTTATGAAAACTTATTATCAAAAATATTATTAACTTATTTAGTATTTTTTATAATAATAATTCCCAATATCTAGGTGAAATTATTATTTTTGAAATATGATTTAATTCCCTCCAATATCTGGCAGGAAAAAATTTTTCTATTATTATTATTATTTAAGCATTTTTAATTTTTTTTATTATTATCTTACTTTGTTTTCATTTTATTATTAAAACAATTAAAAAAACTTATCCTAACAAATTTAAAACTTATCATACATAAATATATAAAAAAAAGAAGAAAAAAACTAACAAAAATAATAATATATAAAAAAATTCAAAAATTCAAAAAAAAAATTTTTACCTAAACCGGACCGATCAACGGCAGTTCGGTTCGACGGTTCGGGTGCGGTTCGACTCGGTCTGGGTGTCGTCTGATTGGTTTAACAGTTCGGTATCAGTTCGGTTCTGGTTCAGTCAGACCGATCAGAAGCTGATGGAGAAACGAATCGCAGGTCAGCTCATGGGTTGACGTACGGATCTTGGGTGTTTAAAACGACGTCATTTTGACTATTGACAGCTTATATAAAAGTAAATTTTTTTTTCATTCATTTCTTTTGTTCTCCAAAAAAACTTTTTTTTTCTTTCTTCTTTAGCCGAACACGGTGCCGGTCGATCGCAATCACCGTCGTTCGTCGATCACCGACCGCCGTTGTCGGTGGTCAAAAAATTTTCAGAAAACACCAAAATGTTTCCCTCGACCTCCTAAGTTCAAATCCGAGGTCTTTTTCACAAAAAAGAGTCTCCACTCCCTAGATCTGCTTTCAAAGTTTCAATGAGACTATTTTTTATTTGTATTCTGACTTTTTTTTTAAACTGACCATTTTTTTTCTTCTTCATGCAGAAAGCTTGGTGCTGGGTTCCTCCCTACGGGGATGACTGTTTGATTTTTTTTTTTGGCAGAATCTTTCCCTTATTCTCTCTGTCTGTTTTGGTTTTGCTAAGAGCTTTATTGATAGAGCTTTGACCGTGTGTGTACTTGAAGGAAGGGCATGGGGCTTGGCATGGGGTGTAAGCACGAGCCCCATGCCTCTTTTATTTTTTTTGGCCACATCTGGCAGTGATAGGGTTAGGTGATCAGAGGGGTGGGGGGTAAGGCATGGTGAGGGATAGGTGTAGGGCATGGTGGCAATGGTGCCAGGGATGGCACTATTGCCATCCTCGATTTTTCTTTCTTCTGTTTCTTTTTTTTTTATATTTTTTTAGGTATTTTTTTATTTTGTATTTTGTTTTGTATTTCATATTTTGTATTTTTTTTCTAGATAAATTTGATGTCCACAAGTGGCATACGGTACCTATTCGTTTTATAAGTGTCATCCATAAGCAAGACTGATGAAAAAAGCTTGCAATAATTCTATACCAGTAGGATGAGCCTAGAATAAGTCTTTCACATAGTTGCTTAACTCATCATACCTATGCCACTCTAGATATTTACAATATGTTAACTTTTTCATCAGTTATTGCATTTGTGAACTGCAAGCTTTGTCAACATATTTTTATTTTTTACGTTCATTATATATTGTTTTTATAATGCTGACATTCTTCTCATCATGTTGTTTTATAGTGAATAGCATATTTTTGGGTTTGACTATATTAGCAACTAATCTTTTTTCTTTTTCAATTAATCAACTCGTATATGAATGTCTTTCTAATTGTTATGCTGGTAGATGATTGTAAATTTCATATACTACTTTCATGCCCCATTTATTATCTATTGCTAACTTAATCCTATGTAAATCAAATGAGTAACCAAACTTTTTTGTTCCCATTCTCTTACATTTCATGTTTTCTACATTACTCTTATTTTTAAATTGTTTATGTTTTTTACTTTGTTTACATACTAATTTTATTTTAGGTTTTCTCGGGCCTCCCACCTTAGAGTATTTAATCATTATCATAAAACTTTCATACTTTTCAACTCGTCTAGCATATGAAATTAAAACTTATCTACTACAAAACACATACAAAACATTTTAAACTTATTATGTATATACAAATTAACATTCTATGCTTCTATGCCTTTCAATAAAACTAAATCTCAAAAACATAATTTTACCTCTTTCGTAGTAAATGACTTGGTGCAATCATATCTAATATCTAAATTATGTGGCAATTGATCCCACCCTATCAATGCATTTTTCAAATTAATCTACATATCACAATATGTTAAAAAAATTATTAAAAGAAATATAAAGATTGCAGAAACTTATATTACATTCTTGAAAATGGATTTTCGAAAATTACATGGTATTCTCAAAAATCTATTTTCGAGAATTATGTTGTATTCTTGGAAACATATTTCCTAGAACTACATTGTATTCCTAAAAATTCATTTTCAAAAATACAACATAATTCTTGAAAATGAATTTTTGAGAATCACTAGAACTCAAACTCGACTCCTTACCTCTTTAAGTTTTCTCTCTCATTGTTATTTCTCATTTCTAAATCCATTCTTTTACGGGTTGTAAGATTTAACTAAGATTTCAAAAATTGAGTTTTAAGTTTAAAGATTTAGGATTTATTGTATGAGAAAGGGGGATAAAAGAGAAATAAAGAAGAAGAAAAAGGAAGAAACGAGGAAGAAGAAAAAATGAGTGTATAAGATATTGAGGGTATTTTTATCATTTCTTAAAACTTAAATTTGGTATTTGATATGTGGATATTTTGGGGAGTTGTAAATGCACCCCGCTTTTGCTTTATACACCTTCATTTTTTTTTTCAAATTTTTTGATAAGTAAAATTACTTAAATATTCTTCTTGCAAGTTATCGGATATTCACCATTTTTGAGAAGTCATAGCATTTTTTGGAAATGAATTTCTAAGAAGCTATAACATTTCTTGAAAATACATTTTTGAGAAGTAATAACACTTCTCGAAAATACATTTTGAAAAGTGAAATTTTATAAAAAAATTTATAAAAGGGAATGTTGTTAAAAGTATTTATATATTACTGTAATGAAAAAAGTTATAATTAAAAAGTAATAAATTTTAAAATTAATAAAAAATTTTACTTTTACTATTTTGATTTTAAAGGTGTACAATGTGCCTAAATATGATGACTATATGTTTGCTGAAATATTTTATGACGGTTCAAATAGTAAAAAAAATAAAAAAAATTATTATTACCATATTTTTTGCCTCATACGAATTTGAGAATTAGTAAGAAAGGACATTGAAAGAATTAAAACTACTTCAAAGTTGAAAATTCTCTTAACTAGCATTGCATACTTATGAATAAAAAGATAGTAATACTACTAAATACAACACAATTTTATCAAAATTTAATATTTTAATTAGAGAAACTCATCATGATAAATAGATAGAAATACTTCTCACGAGTTCAATTAAAACTATTATAAAATTTTAAAAATTGATTAAAAATTATTTATTATTTTTTTTAATAATAACTTTTTTCATTATACTTACGTACAAATAATTTTAATATTTTTTTTTGTAATTTTTCATAAACATTCTTTTATATCACTTGAAAATACATTTAAGAAAGTGTTATAATTTTTGAAAATCCATTTATGAGAAATTATAAAATTTATGAGAAAGTTATTTTAATAATTTCACTTCAAAAAATTTTGAAAAAGAAAATTGAGGATGCATAGAAAAAAAACAATGGTACGAATAAAATTCCCGAAGTATTTTTAGAAAATAATTTACAAGTTGTATAAAGTTTTTTTTTTGTGATGTATTTAGAACACCCCTTCTAAGAAAGACCATGAATTGAGCCTCAGATATTGCCCCCAGCACAACCATCACAACCATTGTTTTACCACTGGAAAAGACCCACAGTCCTAAGCAATTCTATTACCATTGTTTCAAAAAAAGAAAAATCTATTATTATTATTATGGTATGATATTTCGAGTTTGAGTACATTTAGAAGCATACGCCTACGCAAGGTTAAACGGGAAAAAAAAAAGGGAATTCAGTGACATAGAGCTGATGATGATTAACCCACCTATTCCTCCGAAAGAAGATAGAAAATGTTTTTACTATGCAACGATCAGATATCCAAAAGCACACAGGTTCTCATTTTTAATCAAGTTCAATTGTGAGAAATGTAAATTCCTAAAGGCAGCAAAGAATAACTTGTCTACTGTTAGCCACTATATCTCATATTTATACTCTAAGAAAAAGTGAACAACCAACATGCAGAAAAAAAATATATTCCAGGAAAAGTGAACGGCCATTTGCCTTCACGTCAGCCCAAACATCAGCAACCTTGCTTCCGCAATGAAAGCTTATACAGAAAATCCAAGAGGAACTCATCAGAAATCTTTAGGTTTAGCATCACAATCCTAAAATATCATGCACCATGGCTCTTTCTATGAGTCGGTGCACGGCATTAAACAGCTCCAAAAAATTATGGGGGCCTGAATTTGCTGTACAATCTTAAAAATTAAACCCGCATATATAATTAGTAGCATATCACACAATGTTCTTTCCCAGTCTTCAAGAACTAGGTATTTACATTAGACAGCATACAGTAGCTACCAATACCAACATAAATATAACTAGTATGAACATATATACACATAAAATTAAGTTATTAGGGAAATGTGAGCTACCATCTTTTTGTGCTTCAGACAAAGGGTAACATACAGTAAATCACCTCAACGCAAATGCAATCCACGTTCAAACTGATATTCTAGAGATGACAAATGCAATGCTCTTCTAATACTCGCCTTCTCTCTCTTGATGTGGATCAGCTTGTCATAAACACACCAAGGAAAGCTCAGAAAGTGATTCCTATTCATTCCCTCATTATACTGACCCCAATAACTTGGATGATATGTGACGTGGTACCAGGCAGAGGCCTTTGCGTATGCATCATCTGTTTCGGAATCTAACCCACTTCCCTTTTCATTAAACCATGACTTAGCTTCCTTTCTCAAGGATCTAACAGCCATACCAATTGCTTCCGCATCTCTTTGCTTTGTGAAAGATCTTGACATCTTCATGATACCCCCGCTGAGTATTTCAGCCTCAGTTTTGATCCCATAATAGTCCATCAAATTCCCCAATTTGTAATCATAGTTACTTTTACAGTAGAAAGCATCATCAATATAATTCTCATAGCCATCAACTTCCATGTCAGAATCATAAACCCTCTCCAATTTTTCCCTAGTTAAGGACTTGATAGAGCATTCATTGGGAGCAAGGTCTTTCACCTCTCGGAAAAGCTTTCCAATAATATTGTACGATTGATAGGTTGGTTTGTCTGGCTTCTCCATGAAATCTGGATATTCTTTGACTCTCAGTTCTTGTGGTATTTCTGCTGGTACACCAGTTTTTGGAAAGTCAACTGCAACCGAAAACAGCTTTGCGAGCTCCATACACTGGCTGCTCATTGCTTTGTTAGGTTGTCTATCAGCAAAGACAGTATGAGCATTTGCAATGATTCCTAAACTGTCATTGACTATGTAATTTGTGAAATACTCTTCAACTTCCTGCATCCAAAAGTGAACATCATAAATCTTGAATAGAGAAGAAATTATTCTCATCCTTGGCGTGAGAAAGAAATTTCAGGGGAATAGTAAATTCATCAATTCAGAGTCTTGTACATCAAAAGAAGCAATATCACAATCTGTTGCCCTTTAAGGATAGGAAAGAATCAAAATGTTGCATTCACAAAATACAATTTAGAATTAAGAATGTTGCCACAAGCATGTAGATATACTAGTTATATAACTATTTGCTACAATTAACCTATCTCTGCTCATGGAAATTTGCTCTTAATTCTACTTTTCTTTTCTCTGAGAAGGTGGTAGTGTGGGGAAATTTGGAACAAAGAAATACAAAGGAAAGAAAAGGGATTTAGAAGAAGAGAAACGAATAGCATATAAAGGCCTTGGCTGCAAGTGGATAAAAGAAATACAGGACAAGCACAGTTAGATAGCAAAAGAACATGCCAACAAGAGTTGTTGAGTTGGTAAGGTTCGAAGACTTCACTTGTAAGATCTAGGTTCGAGTTTTGCTACCAGCAATCCCCTTAGTGGGCAGGACAAGCACTGTTAGATAGCAAAAGAACATGCCAACAAGAGTTGTTGAGTTGGTAAGGTTCGAAGACTTCACTTGTAAGATCGAGGTTCGAGTTTTGCTGCCAGCAATCTCCTTAGTGGGCAATCCGTAAATCCAATGTAAGCCCTCTATGAGGCCTGTGGTCTGCTTTGACCCTAGAATGGATAAGCCTCCCCCAAAAAAATTAGCAAAAGTATACGCATACCTGTGCTCTTTTTATGATCCCTATCATAACGCTAACCAAACCTCCCCCTTCCCCCAAACCCTTTTTTTCTCATAAAAACAAGAAAAGGTGGGTAGCATAGAAGCAACTTTTCATCCGTCTCTCTCTTCAATTATTAGTGCTTTTTCAGGTATTGTTTGGTAGCTAGATAAAGTATTAAAAGTTAGAACTTCTAACCAATTTGGCTGTGAATGAGCAATGTTATTTCACTTAAAATATTATGGTTAAGTAGTTTTTAAAATGTGCAACAAAATATTTTGGAGAAACAATTAAAGTGGTTTTGCATGCAGAATATGTTTCATTGCCCATTTTAAATACCATTTAAGGGAACTAAGGACCTACTTAATGTTGAACGCAATATGAAATCTAATATAATTGGTTATAAAAAATTATTATTTGACTACCTTACACCCTAAATTCTAATTAAATTTCCTTCTATACCATCTTTTTCACTCTTATCAAATGTGAGAGACTCATGCACTTGGTAAGCTTTCTTATTGTTATTAATTTGTTTTCTAACATTAAATATCAGAATCAATAATCTAAATTAATTCTAAAAGAACCCAATCAAAGAAAATAGATATCAATTCAAAAACAGAAGCAACCATAAAGAATGGATTACAACACAGTATAAAAGCATATGCCGGTACTTCTATATAGTAGGAAAAAGAATTGTAAAGTTAAAAACTTATAAACTGTAGAGATTTCGTAAACAGTTCAATTATAATACTTAATTTCGATAGCACACCCAAACAAATTCTACAAAGCAAATTCAATGTTAAAATTTTAGCACATAATTTGTAGCATTGAATTCTTTTACCCTATCAAATAAAAGTTAATGGAATCAAAATCTTTCAGGCATACAACCAGCCAGTTCCTCTTTAGTAGACTAACTAAACAAAGCTATGAAAGAGTCCAGTAAAGAAACCACAGAATTAGGAGCAAAAGGGCTATATTCCATCTTAATGCCAAAGAAAGACACGAAATCTTAACATCTTTTTTTTTTATTAATTTTGTTTTGGTTGCTATTTTAGTTTTCAATCTATTGTAGTTGTCTCTAGTAGTCTCTTTTTTTCCAGTTTCCTGTCTCTACTACTCTAGTAGTCTCTAGCAGTTTCTCACCTCCTAAAATGTGGATGAAATGAAAATTATAAAAAAAAAAAATGCATCGGTGCTCATCTATAATATCTTAAATAACACTATTCTTTAACTATCCTGTCGGATTACTAAAATCTGAATTATCATACATTTGATTTTATTTAGAAAAAATTAGGTTCACAAATATGCACGCCAAGTTTCTCTCGTTTAGAGTCTTAGAACTCCAAAGTCACTAACAATTTGTTATCTCAGATTCCTACAAGTTTGTAAAGAGATTTTACTTTCAGCAAGCAACTCTGAAAAAATTTTTATGCACATATTATAAAAGGATTTACACAATGTAACCTACAAAACATTACAAAAAATTATGTTAAAAACGACTCTCAGAATAAGGTGCAGTTTCCACATGCAACATTAAACAAATTTCATTAGCTGTTACACTGGTGGCACATAGATCATTAAATGATTGACAGCATGAACTTGTAAGAATTTTGAAGAATGTTATATCAATCATATCCTTAACAAAAAAAAGTTGTTGGAGAGAGAGAGAGAGAGAGGAGCAAGATTCATGCATTTCAGCGTAAAGAAACTATAAGAGAATAGCACAATAAGAACAATTAGATACAATTAAGCAGAATAATAACAGAATGCTTCAATACCTAAAAGAATAATACCTCAATGGTAACTTCATGATCCAATGTGGTAGTTGGAGCTGGTGAATAATCCATGGGTTTGATTTGCCTTGATGGAATCAATTCAGGATCCCAAGAGACAAAGTAGATATCACCATCCAGATCACTTCCAGAACACTCATTTGGATGAGGTCTAAGAATTTAATTCAATTTGGGTCAGTAAATCATTCTGCACGGTGAAATTTCTAAAGAGAACAATGAAGGCTACCATCTTGTTATGTGTAAATACATTATAATACACATAAATACAGAAAACATCCACAAATAGGACAGAATTTAACCCATATAATTCAAACGAATACAAGTATGGCAAATCTGTGACTCAGAAGTAACCTGCTGAACAAAAATGAATGCTACTATAACTAAATCCTTGAACTAGATGCAGTCAGGTGCAACCACCTGCAAGATTTCCCAGCCCTGAGAAGAGGCTGTAGCTATGCTAAATAGTTTCATATTTTTTGTCCCAAATTTTGGACACTGTCATGTATGCTTACTCATTTATAAAGTTGTATCAAGCTCTGAAAGAATGTTAGGCACCACAGAGAAAGCAGATAATTTTCCCCCCGTATTGTCAGATGCTCCCTTAAGGTATATTTCCCACAGGCCAGCGGCACCTCAACAAATAGATTCTATTTATGTCAATCATACTTGAACTATTTCAAGTGTTCATGTTGCACAGCCAAATGTAAAATACATGGCCAGCTAGTTCTACCAAGAAGAAAAGGAAACATGCATTTTACTATGTAATCATCAACGATGAGTCCCCTTGAAAGGCAAATAAAAAAGCTAAAACCAGTATCCTATACAAAGAGCGACAAGATACAACCAGCATCATTTATGAAGTGATATATAGCCACATAAAATAAAACCCATGATAACAATAAACAAGCAATAATTGCACATTAAAACAACAAGATTCTGGAAATGGAAGAGATAGATTACAGTGGTGATGAAAATGACAATGTTGATATAAAAGTCATGCCAGAGGCATATAATATTAACATATACAAGTCATTGAAAAAAATGCTTGCTAGAGAGGGAGCATAAAAAGAAAGCTTTTAATATAAAATAAAAATTTCAACAACATAACCAATTGCATGCTCCTAACACAAAACTACAGATCATACTTAGCCTTCCAACCCACCCGCTCCATATTCCCTATTAGACAGTAATGCACATAACCAATTGCATGCTCCCAACACTAAACTTCTGTTGAATCCATGCTTAGCCTTCCAACCCACCCACTCCATATTCCCCATTAGACAGTAATGCACATATGCGTACATGAATGTAAGATGCATGCACTTCTTTAGCCAAAATGAGATGCAGACCAAAGTAGGCTAAGGTGTACGACACACCAAGTTCATCTAGATTTAGATTTTTTGCAAACAATGATGAAGAAAGAACATTGTTGCTCATGGTATTGCAAAAGGGAGGGTATGCCCTTAATTTACCTGATTCCTTTCTGTGGAAAAACAACACAATCTACCATATGGTACAAATCAGGCATGTTGACAGCCCTTAAGACACGCACATCGCCTGGGTGCAAGCAGGGGTTTTTGGCAACAACTACCTTACCCCTAACAATAAAACGCTGCTCAGATCTAGACCCTGAAAACTGCACAAACACTTGGCCATAATCCAATGTTCTGGTTTCATCTAGACATCCCATCATAGACCTTCCATTTGGAACAAATATCCTGGTTTTAGTCCGCAGCTCCAGTAACTTTGACGCTCGATATGTTTGCAACATCATGGAAAGGAATGGTTCAGCATCAGGTTTATAACCACATAAGAGCATTTCCTTGAGAATGTTAGTATTTTCTCCAGGAGACATTAACTCCAGAGCCTCCTGTGCCTTTAGAGGATCTGTTAGGATAGCATTGAGTTGAGCTACTGCTTCTCTTTGTTTTTTCTCAAAAGCATGGTCTGGAACTCCAAGAGTAGATAAAAGAGTGATTAATTGCCGATTCAGAAAACAAGGCTGATACTTGCTCCAAGCCAAAACATCCAGTTTTGTGTTCTCTGATTCATACTTTGACATACTCCTTCTGAGGGATAATTTCCTCGATGAGGTGGGATCAACAGCCACAACACCTTTGAATCCACCAATGCGAATCTGAAAGGCAGATGGAGTGTGACCATTCAAGCGACATTTAGCAGCCACCTTCTCAGCAAATTTAGCCGATATTTTTCCAATTCCATCAGAAAAGACATATTTAATTCCACCCCTTATAATTTCTACATCTGGAATAATGTCGATTTCATCTTGAGCAACACTAAGAGTTTCGGTTGATGAACTGAAAGATTGGCCCAGTCTAGCAGCATATTTTGCCACATTTCTTATTTTACTAAAATTTCCCATCCATGTCCTTATATATGCTGCGGTGAGCCCATTTCTTGAAGCAAACATCCAGGCTGAATTTTCCCGTAATTGACTTGATGAAAAAGCAAGAAATTCAAATCTCTTATCACCAATGACTATGCCATTTTTAAGAGTAGAAAGAATCCTTTCATAAATTTCAGTTCTCCTACCCCTCGCCAGCAAATCTGTTGAATGGATCTTTTCCAACTCTTCATCAACAAAAGTGATGCGAAGAAAATTGTCAATATCATCACGGAAATGGCGTAGCACACGATTTGACACATTAATCTCAGGACCACAAAAATACACCCTAGAAGGTGTTGTCTGAACCCTTCTTACATATACCAAACCATCATCTAAGGATATAGCAGGTGATCCTCGGTGTCTCTTAGATGTGATGTAATTTTTGTACTGCTCAAGGAGCCACCTTGAAGGTTCATAGGAGCATTCTTTTTGATAATAAAGTTTCTCTAATGCATGGTCTATATAGACTTTTTTTATTCTACGTGGATCCACCAATCGATAAAACCTAGCATCAAGTACTGGTCCTGGGATGTACCCATTTTGTACCAACAAATTAACCTTAAACAAGATTTCAAAGGGCAAGTTAACTCCCAGTGAAGGGCCTACAATTGGGACTAGACTAAGATTACAGGAATAAGAAGAACCGCTTTCCAAAACCAATTTGCCTTCATTTTCTTTGTAGTAAGCAAAGTTCTCCCGAAAATTTGGAAGTTTGAGGTAGTGCGGAAGCTCCAAACACAATACAGAAGACTGCCCGATACAGCATGATTGAGTGAAATCAGTCGTCCTTACCCATTGATCATCAGGTATATTCATAAAGTAGTTAAACAAAGGATCCTCAAATACAAGTCCAGAAGATCGCACTTCTTTCTCATATATCCGTGGAGCTCCAAATAACTAAAATTAAAAGGAAACCACAAAGCATCATAAGCAATTTTCATTTATAAGAGTTAACAATTACAAAGAGAATAAAACTTTTGGAAATGAAATTTTCCAGTATCAATAAAATAGCTCAAATTTCTCGAAATGAATTAATTCATCTGTAAATCGCCATTGTGAACAGCCTGTTACAAAGAGCATAAAACTTTTGGAAATGAAATTTTCCAGTATCAATAAAATAGCTCAAATTTCTCAAAATGAATTAATTCATCTGTAAATCGCCATTTTGAACAGCCTGTTCCAGACTTAAAAGTGCAATATGGGCTGAGCTGTACCTTTTCTCAAGCACATATATATTGATTTCCACCGTAAATTCATTTGTGCAAGTTCTCAATTGCCAAATGTAGCTCATATTTAGTACAAGTAGTATTTTCCACTTAGAGTAAGAGAAATTAGTATTCCAGCCTATTCTCCTAACAAAATCCCCTATGAACAATCTTAATTAAGAGAGAATATGAGTTTCACAAATTATCTGTTTCAGATCATATTGGTCCATAATTTACATATATCAAAGGTATCCTAGAAGATCTTAGAATTGCTCTCACACAAGTTTTCCAAAGCCACCAGTGTGGAGCAATGATTTGACAGTTTCAAGAAGTATAAATTACGAATAAAAACTGTATTTCCCAAACAGCAGGGCAAGCATAAGACAAAATCATTAACATACCCAAAGGTCCTTAATCATTTTCATGCCGTGGGTTGATATGAAACCCACCAAAGAAAATTTTCTATTCCCCCAGACAAGCAGTAATGACAAACTCTATTCAATTTACATGGAAATAACAGTGTCAGTCAATTATTGAGTTGGCATTTCAAATCATTTCATAGTAGAATATAAATCAGCAAAACAAAGGTGACATACACAGCTAAGGACGACAAAATTATTCAACCTGTTACATGGAATGATGTTACGTTGATCTCTTACTTTTAGGTAGCTAGGGTAATACTATAAAGACTAAAGATGAATTTATAATAAAAAAAATTTAATAAAGCAACCTGAATCAGAAGATACTTTGAAGTTTGATTGTGAGGACGACGCAACTCAATCTGCCAGATGTTCTCATAGCCAAGCTCCAGCTTGTATTCTAACTGACAATGTGACAGTAAAAATTGCAATTTCCGCATTCCAGTCCCAAAATTCACAGTAACATTATCTGTTCTCCAGAGAACATAAAATCTATCTTTTGAGACCTGACAGCCAAAATGCACTCTCACATGTTCCATGGTATGCAAAAAGGTTCTTGGCTTTGGCACAATATCATTCTCCATTTCTTGAGCCTTGAGATATGAACTCCTGTAGTAAAGTCTTTTTTGATTAGCCAACTTTATGATACACTCAGCATCTATGCTTTTGGTAAATTGCACAATAGCATATGCTCTTCCTCCCTTTTTATGCTGCCTAATTTTAAGGGCAAAAACAGTTTCTTTTCCGGTATATGACTCCAAAAATGTCTTTACTTCTTCAGCAGACACGCTTGAGAGGAATCCAGAAACCTGAATTGTCTTACCCATGGACTCAATTCACTCGATGCTCTTACCACTTTAAAACATACAAGTCACTGCAAAAACCGGAGAACAATATTTAAATAAATACCATAAATGCACCAAGATAGGGGAACCAATTAAGCAGCCTCTCAATGAAACAGTCAAGATTTCATAAAGAAAAATAAAAGAAGGGAGCAAAAAAATTTATATGCTTTTTTACTAGTAATAAGCAGCAATGGCTAACCTAGTAGAAGATGAATTTTATGGCACAGATATCTGTGAACTTTACAAGAATGCTCTGTGTGATGAGGATCATTCCCTCTGCCCACACAATGCAACACATTTGCAATGCTGCATGATCCAACATCATCAGAGGTTCTTGTCTATTTGAAAACACACTTAGTCCATATAGGTAGTCAACGAGCAAAAGTATATCAGTGCCATCCAAATACAATCAGTGAGAACTGTTTTTAGTCTCAATGGCTTTCTGAAGAGTAACTAGTTCACTCCTCTTTCATGTGTTTACTAGTGTTAGAGAGTAATGTATATGAAGTTACATGTTTCTCAGTACATCAATCAATTTGATCTCCATTTTTCAAATGAAGCTAAATATCCCAGCTTTTGACTCGATAAAACAGAGGTAGAGAAATCCCAAAGACATATTAATAGATTAAGATAAGGAAAAAAAAAAAAAAAAAAACCCATATCCTCAAGGAGCATATATCAATAGAGTTCAAGGTGGATAGCAGAATGCATAATTCATTTTAGTCATTTCAATCTGACATAACTTTGCAATTCAATACATATTTATACCTTATAGCAACTTTAAAAATTAAAGAAGCAAAAGAAAAAAAAAATTATCCAACAACCAGCTTTGAAACAGAAAAGAAAATGATACACCCAACTACTAAGAAGGAAAAAGATTCAAACTTTTCCTGAGTAAAGCTTTAGCCTCAAAAAAATTGAGAGTAAAAGAAAAGAAAAAAATTTTCCCTCTGTTTCAAACTGAATGTCTACTTTCAAATTCTGGCATCATACAAAATCAATTTTCGAACATTATTAAGAGGAAAGGAGGAGTCTTTACCAGAGAGAAGAAGTAGATGAGATCAGAAGCATAACTCCATTCCCACTCCCTTGAACGAGAAAAGAAAAGGACAGAATCCATTTACATCTTTGGTCGTCAACTCTCTAAGTCAATTGCCGTACTGAGAGCGACAGAATAGACGAAGAAAAAGTATCAAAAACATAAGCGAATAAAGACGGAAAGGCCATGATTCCCTCCATCGCAGCATGCATGCAGTCGATTCGGGTGACGCGTTTTAACACTCTATTTGTTTGTCTTTAGCTATGAGGCAATGGGTTTCCGCCACGCCAGTAACTGGTTCCCGTGAGATTTTCGTGGAGATCGTGGCTGGCAGTGTCGAGGGGGTTGGCTAAAATCAGGGAAAATAAAATAGCGTAGCCGATCCAACACTAGGCTCAACTTTTCTCCATTTCGTGGGACCGGAAAATGTTTGGTCACTTTTCCCAAACTTGCTCGCGAAGGAGTTGCTGGGACTTTTCCGCTGTGCACAATCTTATTTCATATCTAATCTCCAAGGGATCTAAAAAAATCGATATTAATTAATTTTTTATATTTGTGATTTATTTATTAATTAATTAATTTTGAAATGTTATTCTAAACAAATATAAATAAACAAAGATCATATATATTTACAAATTGATTACATCCTACATTTTAATAAATTCATGTATTAATTTCACAAAAGAAATTGAAACTATTTTTTATATATTACTATTTATTTATAATCTAAATATAATACAATTTCAAGGACATGATTAACATAAACATGTATTTATGTACTTTAGATTATTGTCAGGGTAACAAATTAAGAGTTGATTCACATAAAAGAACAAAGGCTCGATGAACTAGATTTCTGATCAAAATTCAACTCATTATGATTGGATTTACGTTCCAGTGGTGAGAAATGTGAAGATCTTTCACTTCTTTTCTCGTTCTTGATTTGGAGAAGCTTGTCATAAACACACCATGGAAAGCTAATGAAATGCTCTTGAACAATTCCTTCGTTGTAGCGACCCCAGAAGTTGGGATGGTATGTCACATGGTACCAAGCTGAAGCTTTTGCAAATACATTCTGAAATTTAGAACTCAACTCATCACTTTTTTTCGCATTGAACCAGCCCTTGGCTTCTTTCCTCAATGACTTCACTGCCCAAACTACCGTTTCAAAGTCCCTTCTTCGGTCGAAAGATTTCGACATTTTCGTGACGCATCCACTTATCATTTCAGCCTCAGTTTTGACCCCATAGTAACGCATCAGGTTAGCAAGTTTATTGTCATACACACTTTTGTGATCTAAAGCATCATTGACATAATCCAGAAAGCCCTCAACTTCCAAGTCAGAGTCATAGGTTTGCTCAGCTACTTCCTTGGTGAAATGTCTAACACCAGCACTCACCCCTGTTGGGATCATTTTAACCTCCCGATAAAGCTTTCCAATCACACTTTGTGATTCATAGGTGACTCTTTCAGGCTTTTCCATGAAATCTGGATATTCACGAACACGCAGACGATGGGGAATTTTGGCTGGAATACCAGTTTTTGGGAAGTCAACAGCAATGGATGATAGACGGGCAAGCTGAAGGCAAGGAACACTCATTGCTTTAAGAGGCTCCTTATCAGCAAAAACAGTGTGGGCATTAGAAATGATTCCCAAGCTGTCATTGAGTATGTAGTTGGTAAAATACTCTGCTACCTCCTGTACATTTAAGTAGAAAGGAACCATCAAATGTTTCTTGAATTTGCAAATAAAATGTAGGACATATTTCTAATCTTCAAATTTTACTATATGATTCGAGTAATATTAATATATATATATATATATGCACACACACACACCTCTATAGTGACATCATGATCCAAAGGGGAACTTGGTGCAGCACCATAATCCATGGGAGGAACTTGGCAGGGAGGAATGAGATCTTCATCCCAACTGACAAAGTACATATCTCCATCCAGATCACTACCAGAACATTCATTTGGATGAGGTCTGTTTCATCATGTAATCTTGCAAGGATTAATAGCCATAGAGATGAAAGTACAACACTCTTAGTATAATCAATTTTTAATTTCATTTGCATACTATAGAATAAGTATTTCTGAACTTTCACTGGATAGAAAATTTTTTTAGCGAGAAAAACGAAAACGAGAAAGGTATTGAACTTATGAAGTCTTCAAGAAAAACTTAAAATAAAAAAAACCATATATGAACTATATTTTACACCAGAGAAGTTTCATACTTCAAAAAATTCAATAAAAGCATATGAATATTGGATAGTCATACCTTTGTCCTCTTTGCGGGAAAACAATGCAGTCCACCATGTGATGCAAAACCACAGCATCCACAGCCTTCAGAACCCGTAGGTCTCCAGGGTGTAAACAAGGGTTTTTGGCAACAGCTACCTTCCCCTCAACAACATGGTAATTCTGATCATTAGAATATTGCTTCGGCTTATAGACAGAGTACTGTACAAACACTTGACCATATTCTAATGTCCCAGTTTCATCTAGACATCCCATCATAGATCTTCCCTTCTGAATGAAAATTCTTGTTCTGGTCCTCAAATCTGTCAATTTTGACCAACGAATTGTTTGTAGCATCATTGACAGAAAAGGTTCTGAATTAGGGCTATAACCACACAAAAGCATTTCTCTTAAAACATTGGTAAATTCTCCAGCAGATAACCACTCCATTGCTTCCCTTGCCCTTTCTGGATCTATCAAAATTGCATCCAATTGAGCTAAAACCTCTTTCTGCTTCTCTTCGAAAACATGATCTTTAACCCCAAGAGTAGAAAGAAGGAGGATTATTTGGCGATTAAGATAACAAGGGTGATACTTGCTCCATGACAAAACATCTAGACTTGTACTATCGGCATCAAACTTCTGCATACTCTTTCTTAATGATAACTTCACCGAAGATGATGGATCGACAGCAACAACTCCTTTGTAACCACCATACCGAATTTGGAACGCAGATGGAGTAGTTCTCAAGCCGCATTTCCTAGCCACTGCCTCGGCATGTTTAGCAGAGATTTTTCCAATGCCATCAGAGAAATTATACTTGTTCTCACCACTTTCAATTTCAATGTCATCTATGACCTTAATTTCATTCATGCTCACTTGCAAAGTTTCCCTAGATGAGCTGAAAGACTGCCCTAATCGGGCAGCATATTTGGCCACATTCCTTATGACATGAAAATCACCCATTTTCTCTCTGATATCAACTGCAGTAAGCCCAGGTTTCGAAGCAAACATCCAAATGGAGTTTTCTCGTAACTGACTTGTTGAACAAGCAAGAAATTCGAATTTCTTGTCACCAATAACTATGCCATTTCTAAGAGTTGATAATATCCTTTGATAAAGTGTAGTATGCTTTCCATCACTAACAGATGTGCTTGAAGACAAATCTGTGGAATGTATCTTTCCCAGTTCCTCATCAACAAAAGAAACACGAATAAAATTATCGATATCTCGAATGTAATTCCGCAGCACACGATTAGAGAGATTCAACTCCGGACCACAGAAATAAACCTTAGATGGGGTAACTTGAATCCTTCTCACAGCCACCAATCCATCACCAAAGGGAAGAATGGGAGGTCTTATAGTGTTTTCCGACGCCCGGTATTTCTTGTACTGCTCATCTAGCCACTTCACAGGTTCGTAGCAACATTCTTTGAAGCTATACATTCTCTCTAATGCATGTTCTATGAAGGAAATACCTATTTTACGCGGATCAACCAACTCAAAGAAAGTGGCATCAAGAATTGGCGCAGGCAGACAACCGTGCTGGACCAAGGAATTTACTTTAAACAAGACACCATAAGGCAAGTCAAAACCTGGGGGTGGACTTACCATAGGAACCAAATCCGGGTTAGAAGAATAAGTAGAACCATTCTCCAGCTTGAAATTGCATTGAACTTTCTTATAGTAGAACATCTCATCAAATCTTGGGAGATGCACTGCTCGAGGAAGCTCCAAATACAAAGCAAAAGATTGACCAATGCAATGGCCCGGGGTAAAATCAATTTCTCTAATCCACTGGTCATCATCAGTTATAACTTCATTAGAAGAGCTGACAGCAGATTCATCTTTCTCGTAGTGATAGATCCGAGGGGCCCCAAGTAACTATACATGTAAATAAGATTGAAGGGGCAAAATAAAGTCAATAATCTCCCATGATATTGTGGCACAAATTTATAAGCACAAAATACATACATACCTACATATATATATATATATATATATATAAATATATCATAGTGGTGGTCTAATTTTTTTTACTCTTTTTATAAATACTAGTTTATCTTAGACTTATGTTACACGTGGATGATATAATACATAAATATCATTATTTGAAATAATTTTTTTGATGAAAAATAATTTTTTTATTAAAATAATAGAAAATTTACTCTTTCAATACAATCAAAATAACACTTAAATAACTTTTAAACGTAAAGTATAATGTATAGTGATAATTATTATATGAAATAATTAAAACTAATATAACTTTAATAAATCATTCATGTTTGCCCAAATAATTTAGGTTAAATCGGTAAAAGACGTTTTAATAGAGTTTGAGAAATCTATCAATATTATTTAAACTTTTTAATTATTCCATGGAATAAAAACTTTAGTTTTTGGTGTATCAAAATTTAAATTTTATATTATGAACCAATTATTTTAATATAGAGTTCAAGGTTAATAAAGAAATACAAATAGATAAAAGTTAGTAAATATTTAATTTATTAAAAATTATAAATTAAGAAAAGTTTACTTGAACTACTAAGGACCTCAATATTAATATGAAAATAAATACAAATTATTCAATATTCTCTTTTAACCCGTAATTAATATTAATTTATATTTTCACTTCTCATGCTTAAGATAATTTACTTTAATTAAAAAAATAAGTAAATATTTAATTTAACAGGAAAATTATTAATTAAAGGAAGTTTAATTAATTTTAGAAAACAGATAATTCAAAATTATTCAGTAATTAATTTAATAAGATATTATTAATTTAAAAAGTTAATTACTTTAATAAAGACTTCAACAATAATGAAGAAATAAATAAAAATTAATCAATATTTTAATTTAACAAGAAAATCATTAATAGAAGACAATAATTAATTTAATAAATTATCAACTATGTATATATTTTACTATTTGCAGGTTAGATTTGCAGTTTTAGAGTTCATTGCTTATATATAAACATAAATATATATATATATATATATATATTATTAATAAGGGAGTACAGTTACAAAAGGTAACTTTGGTTTCTTGGATTTTGTTTTCATCTGAAAACTACATCTACTTCATTCACGTAATCTAATGCTGAAGATTTACCTAAATTAAAGAAGATATAATTAAAAAAGAGGAGAATGTAACACAATCCAATTTCAAACATACCTGAATGAGCAGGCATTTCTTAGTTTGATCAGGGGGATAATGTAACACAATCTGACAAACATTGTCATTGACCAGTTCGAGCTTGTAGTCCATAGAGTTATACGACAGAAAAAAGTATAATTTGTCCAATTGCGAACCAAACTTGAAGGAGACATGAGCCTGTTTCCAAAGAACAGAAAACTTCCGTTCCGAAACCTGACAACCAAAGTGCAACATCAAATCATCTATGCTTTGAAGACTGAACAACTTTGGTTGTGGGATAATGTCACGTGGTAATGCCCAGGCTCTTAAATATGAGTCGTTATGCCAAAGATCTTGATTAGCGGTCCAGAATAAGATCCTTTCAGCATCTTCATTTGTTTTGAATTGAACTCTGGCATGGGCTCTTGCGCCTTCTCTGCTGGATATCCCAACTCTTACAGCCGCAACACTTCCTTTTCCTGTATATTCCTCCAGAAATCCCGTCACTTCTTCTACACTAACAGCAGAAGCAAACCCATGGAGCTTAATTGTCTTGCTCATTTCCCTCTCCGATTAGTAAATTTAACTGCAATTTCACAAACTAACACCAAAACCAACAAAAACAAAAAAAAGAAACCCTGCTGTTAACAAATAAGGTTTTAAAGCCTCGTTCAGCTTTACAATTAGAGTAATAGGTTAATGTGACTGAACAATAATAAAAAGTTACGTAACGGTCTGTTGCTATAATATTAAATTTTAAATTTTAATAATTTTAAATATAAAAAAAATATAATGACATCATTCAAACATTTTATTAAGTGATTAGTGTATAAATCTTTGTGTGAAGACTTATATCTAACTTACAAGATTTATTTTTTTATAATTTTATCCTATAAAACATAATTTATAAATATAAATTTTAATTTTTACTTATATATCTCATATTATATCTTCAGCTTTTTAACATAAGATTGAAAGTTATACTCTGCTAAAAAATTGATATGATAAAAAAATTTTCATTTAAAGAAAACTTTAATGAAAATTCAATGAAAATCAAAGAAAAATAACAAAAGAAGAAGGAATTGAGAAAAAAGACATGAACCAAGAAAATTAAAAGAGAAAAACTCACCTGATTTTGAAGAGAGATATCACAAAGAGACAGAAGAGAAAGGAGAAAAATCAAAGCAGTGAAAAAAAATTCACCAAAATTTACAAAGACACGAGAACGAAACAAAAAAAACAACAAAAAAAATTAATGAATAAAAATTTGTCAAAATTTGAAATAATATAAAAATAAAACAAAAGAGATATAAAAAAATTAAAAGAAATAAAAACTCACCAAAAAATAAAGAGATATGAAAAAATAAAAAGAAGAGATGTAAGAAAAACTAAATCAGAAAGACACCGATATGCAATTGTGGCGCCAAGAAGATTTATAAATGAAAAGAAGTTAAGCTCTAAGATTCTATGCTTTTGCCTTGCATGATTGTTTTGGTATTTTTGCTGACGTCAGGCGAGGTGACATCAGGGTTCTGCCACTCAAAGGTATGACTTATTTGAGATTGACACGTTTCGATATCCTATTCGATTCCCAGCCAAAATAGTCTAAACGTAAATTTTTGTAGTTTAAATTGCTTAGTCAAGAAGAATTTTATGGTAAATAGTTTAAATTTGTTTAAAATATTTTAGACACAATAACATAGTTCATGAAACTCGATTTTTTATATTTAATATATTATTTGCCTATAAATTTTATATACAGCAAATTAATCATAACGTTAACCAAAAAAAAATTTTTTTAAAAAAATCAAATTTATGTATATTTATTTTAAAAACTTATAAAAATTTATTTGTATTTATTAATATAGGGATATTATATAGTTCATTAATAATATATAAAATTTATGTATCAAATATAAATTCATATTAAAAATATTAACAATTAAATTTATTAAAATTAGATGATTCTTTATCCTTGGCGAGGGTTAAAGTAATACCTTATTTTACCAAGAAAGTTAATTAAAGAAAAAGAACATATACGACATCTGGTTTCCTCCCCAAAACGGGATTCTTTCCTTCTCAGGGGGGAAAATTGGGGAACCAAGGCATATCCATTTTGTCCAAAGGGAATGATTTGATGGAATTTTAAACTTGCTTTGAATACTTTCATAGAATCCTACTTTGGTGGAATCTTGAGTTTCTTCCCTTTTTTTTTTTTTCCTTTGAATCAAGTATCCAAGGACTGGGAATTTAGCTTTGCTTGACGATCTGAATTATTCAAATTTGAGCAAACTTGATAATAAATAAATCAAATTCAAAATATTCTTTAACTTAAATACAAGTAACTTATAGATTTTTTATTGACATATTCACAAAAGTTAATATTACAAATTACCCTTAAATTATTATAAAATATTTAATGTGATATTTAAATTGTAAAAATATATAATGTAATATTTAAACTGTAAATCTGTTAATTAATATGATACTCAAATAATTTTCTGTCACAAATAATCATTTGAAACTAATAATGTTAAAAATGAATAATACATTAATTAATAAATTTATAATTCATATATTATATTAAAAATTTTAAAATTATGATTACATTGAATATTTCATAATTCAAAGACATTCGTAAAGATAAATATATTCATAAATAACAAATTGAAGAGAACGTATAGGAGTGAAAGATTTTCACTTCATTAAAAAGACTGGCACAAACTACGTATATTTAGTATATAGCTATGAATGAAGTTCTAAGTTCACTAATGGAGTATAAAGCAATCTGATGTCTCCAAAGTAGGATTAATATTACAAGATTGTTAAAACAAAATTGCCCTCCAAGAGGGAATATTAGTTCAAATAAATATCCGTATTTCAAGATCAAATTAAATAAACTACACCAACGAGTTCAAATCTAATTACCTTAAATGAATTTATCCCAGCATGATCATAACAGCAACTCCGCAATCTGAACAGCATAAGTGCAGCTCCCTTGCGTACTTGGTCACCACAGACAAAGATGTCCAACCTATTTTGAAATTTCAGGACAAATAAAAATGTAGGGAAAGCGGAATTTTACCCATGATTTCCTTCTTGATACCGGCGAATTCTGCCTACTGCAACATCATTTTGTTACCTCCAATGGTGTAGGGAAGTGATTAGAAGCCCGATTAACATTGACAATAGGTCGGGTTGGGACTGCATTTTGTTTGTCTCGAATCTCATCCGATTTTATATTCATCAAATTCGAACTTGACTTGACTTGAATTTATTTTAATTTTTTTTATCCGAATCTGACCTGACTCGATATTATATAAATCGTATTCAATTTAATCTGATCTAAAATTAATAAAATATTATTTTTTAAATATAAATAATTAAAAAATAATTTTTATATGATATCAGATTGAATTTGTCTAAAACCGAAACTTGATCCAACCTTGATTTTTTATTAACTTTGTCCGATCCGATTCGAAACTCGATTTAAAAAAAAAAAATCAATCTTATGAGATCAAATCGGATCGAAATCTATCAAAAGCAAGTTGGATTATCAACCCTAAGTCCAATCATCAATAACTACTACCCCAGGAGCACTTTTCAAAATTTCCTGATCAATAAAAAATTTACCAAATAAAAGCATTGAAAATAAAACCAAAGCCATGTTTATCAAGAGATAAGATGTTTTTGGGCCAGAAACAGAGAACCAGAAGACTTTTCTGCAAAGGAAGAGATTCAGCGAAGCCTATTAGTAGCTTTAGCTTATCATTCTGATCTTTTTGGCACATGATCCTTTTGAATAAAATATCAATTATGTTTAAAGACAATATAGCATTTGATATAATTGTGTTCTTTTATCAAATTTAAGCTAACATGTTCTAAGAATCCAATTGGAAAAGCATCATATTGTTTATCTATATAATATTTGAGACTCAATGAATGATTGCAATTTGAAGAAGATATCAAGGAATAAAAAGTAACACAAAGTAATGTATATGACTCAATATGTTAGTGAGTGCACTCTATCGATCTCAATAAGATCAATAGCAATAAAGGATCTTTACAATTTCTCTTAAGATAGCATGAAATAAGATTTAGGTAAATTAACATGGACTTCGCCAGAAATTTGTTAACACTATTTTAGAAACTGAAAATTTCGGATTTTGGTTTTCTATTTTGAAATACTGATGCCCTCATTTCTTTTGCAGTCTGCTCCAGTTTTTCCAATATAGACCACTATGATTATGGATGATATAAATTGGGGTCCTTCACTGCTTTATTAGTACTAAACAATTTTATATGCTACATGTAACATATTTGACAATAGTTGTCCCGAACAATGTGTCTTGAAAGTAAGAATGCAAGACGTCTCTTCCATTTCTAATTTTCCTTGTTCTATTCATAAAAGTTGAACAAAATTCAACTTTAAATCTAACCCACCCTTTACAACTTCTGTCCCAAGAAATAAAAATACTCATAACTACAAGTAGAATGAGAAGAATCCCAAAATTCCATCACCTAAAAAAAGTTGAAAAAGAGATTAAAAACTTAAAAGATGAATGCAATGCATGTAAATGCACCAGATTAGCTATAATGTCAGTCAAAGGCAAATCAAATGTTTGTAACTTTTTTTTATCACTTTTGTTCCATATATTGAAGATAAATTTGTAGATTCACAATATTATAAAAGTTACCTCATCAAGGGGCGTCTCAAACTGAAGATTCACACTCTCAGCATGCGCACGCATCACAGAACTCGTATGCATGTGGCAGTGACTTTAACATTCATGTCATTCTGAGAAAATGGGACAGACAACCATGGAAGACAAAACTTTCTTCTATTAAATGGTTTCCTTATTAGTGGAAAATTCGAAGGAAAAAGGACATACTGGCTGATTTTATATGACAGAACACTTTAACTGCTTACCCAGATTTTCCTCGTCTCCTTTACCATTTTCATTTCCTCTTCCTTAGATCCATTCTCAAGAAGAGGGGCATTATGTGAGAACAAATTAAAAGCATACTGCAAAAATTATAAAAGAAATTAGAGAAAATTATAAGAAATCAGGTGAGATGAAACGATATACACAAATTTATGGATACTGTAAAACAAGTATACATACTTGTTGCCTAAAAATATTACAAGTTGGCGGTTTCCCTTCCAGAACCTAAAAGAAAATGCAGCAAGGAATCAATTTAGAAGAAAAAATTAGTCAAACTTTCATATAACAATTAAACAACAAAATAAAAAAGAGAAAAAATTATTCAAATAACCTCACGGGTTTATAGCTAAAGCTCATGCATAGCAGCAGCACCAGCACCGCTAACTGCCTGATATGTACTAACCACCATACGGGTCACCTGCAGCATGCCATGAACAGAATCAGTGTTTGAAGCATACATTGTCAGGCGAGCATCAGATGTTTAAAGTTGCTTGATGAAGCAAAATAATAACTTACGCAGTGAAACTGGAAAAAGCTCTAAACAATGAACAATAGATAACCTACCTTAAAGATTCAAAACATATAGTTTTCTTTCTCATTACCTCATGAAAAAATCAGTTAAAATTAAT